ATAGTCAATTTTTAACAATTTTTTGTAAATTTTTGTAATCTTTTACAAAAATCTTCTTCTCTGAAACTACTGAGACAAATTTAACCATATTTGGCAATAATCATTATTAGGGTATCTAGTTTCAAAAATTAGTCTGATGACTCCGCCTTCCAACCATCATGGCCGACTTGGTTAAAAATAGAACATAGGGGTAAAATGCAGTTTTTGGTTTATATCTCTGAAACTAAAGCATTTAGAGCAAATCTGACAGGTGGCAAAAATGTTCATCAGATTTAGATTTATCTGCCCTGAAATTTTCAGACAAATCCGACAACCCTTTGTTGGGTTGCTGCCCCTGAGTTAGTAATTTTACAAACATTTTGCAGTTTTTTGTTATTATCTTAGATATCATTATAATACTATTAATTATGATTTTAACCTTATTTTACATGATTTCCAAAGCATCAGTAAATACAGGTGAGCAACACAGGCTCTTGAGAGCCTCTAGTTTGAAATTACCAAAATTATTCTTCTTTTGATAAAAAATGATGCTATTTTATAATATTTGTAATTACATATTTTAAAGGCCTCAAGATAAGTCTTTTTTTTTAGAATTTAGATATAATCAGAATTAAAATACTTAAACTTTTGTTTTTGTGGAATAAGAATGCAGTTATTGCTTTATTTTAATACAAATTATAAACCGTCAGAAGATTTTAGTACTTTTTGTACAATAGGATTGGTTGTTTTTCATAAAATATGCTGAATTTTAGGGAAAAGATACTAATTTTTTGTATGCGTTGCTAAAATGCAAATATTTCTTCTCATATTTGAAATAATGCAACGTCAATTGCAATCAGTCATTATAAATGCCTTTTGATAAGTAATTTTGTATAAAATGTGAATATTTGAAGGATAAATATGCATAAACTTATGTTTTTGTTTAACAAGAATGCAATCATTTCTTCATTTAAATGGAAATTATTGACCGCCATTGGATTTTTGTAATTTTTATAGTTTAGGATTGGTTGTTTTTCATAAAATTAAAAGATTATCAGAGAAAATATACTGAAATGTTGTTCGCATTGTTTAAAATCACCAAAAGTATCCCTCTTTTGATAAAAAATGATGCTATTTTATAATATTTGTAATTAGTTATTTTAAAGGCCTCAAGATAAGTCTTTTTTTAGAATTAAGATATAATCAGAATTAAAATACTTAAACTTTTGTTTTTGTGGAATAAGAATGCAGTTATTGCTTTATCTTAATACAAATTATAAACCGCCAGAAGATTTTAGTACTTTTTGTACATCAGGATTGGTTGTGTAAGTAATTTTGTATAAAATGTGAATATACTATAATATCTAAACAATATAAGACCACCGTTGATAGTAAACTATAGTAAATAGCACTGAAATTTACTTTTATAGTATATGTATGTTCATAGTATACAGATTGATAGTAAACTTGGAATTGATAGTAAATAGCAAATACACTTTATTTATATTATATGTATGTTCATAGTATACAGAAAATGCGAAAATAATTGTTCTGTCCCCAAGTACCTATGAAAATTATGTGTAATTTAAACAGTTCTAAATGGAAGTCTTGTCTTTGACTTATTAGTTTGTCCGACGACGGAAACAATATCAGGACATCTTTATTTTCATTTTCCTCCTAAAATAACCCAAAGGGAATAATCATAAGCAAGGATGACAAATGCGACTATGTACAGTACCTATAGGACACAAAGGCATGATGATTAATTTGGAAGGAAGAGAAGCGACACACAAAATGAGGTCTTCTCATTTAATAGTACAGATTATAGATATTGATAAACTGTAAACAGCAATAATGTACAGCATAGTAAAATCTACAAATAAGTCAACATGACCAAAACTGTCTCCTTAAGGAGTTATTATCAATTTTATCGTAAATTTTTGTAATCTTTTACAAAACTCTCCTCTGAAACTACTGGGCCAAATAGAATCAAGTTTGGCCACAATCATCATTGAGGTATCTAGTTTAAAAAATGTGTCCGATGATCCTGCTTGCCGACCAAAATGGCTGACATGGCTAGAAAATAGAACATAGGGGTAAAATGCAGTTTATGGCGTATATCTCTAAAACTAAAGCATTTAGAGCAAATCTGACAGTGGTAAAAATTGTTCATCAGGTTTAATTCTATCTGCTCTGATATTTTCAAACAAATCAAACAACCCGTTGTTTGGTTGCTGTCCCTGAATTGGTAATTTTAATAAATTTATCATTTTTTAAAATTATCTTGAATATTATTATAGATAGAGATAAACTGTAAACAGCAATAATACAAATAAGTTGAACATTTCTAAAATTGTGAATTGACTCCTTAAGGAGTTATTGCCCTTTATAGTCGACAATTTTTAACAATTTTTCGTAAATTTTTGTAATCTTTCTCATGAAGATAGAGAGAAACTAAACAGACTTCAATGATTAGGAATGTAAGATACAAAAAAGACAGAGATTTTTTTCATTAATTTTATACTGGTCTACAATGTTGGAGAGTGTTTTTTGTTGAACATGCATATAGACCAAGGTGAACGACACAGGCTCTAGAGGCTCAGAGCCTCTAGTTTGTCTGTCAAAACAACTAGTTTCTTTTACAAAGTTTTTACTGAATTTCGTCATCTTCCACTGAATCTAAAGGATTCAATTTCTGATACATTATGTGTTCTGGGTATATTTTTACACACCATTTAAGGATTATAATAAGAACACACTTTCTGAATTTTTTTCCAAACTGAAAGACACAAGGTTAATTTAAGATCAGTTTTACGTGTTCATTTTAGTAAATAGTGGTAGTTTTGAAGCCAACAAATAAATATTACATTGTGTAGATGTAGAGGTGCACAACATATTGAAACTTGGTAATATGAAAATAAGAAGATGAAGTATGATTGCCAATGAGACGACTATCCACCAAAGTTAAAATGAAGTGGATGTAAGCAATTATAGGCAACTGCATGGCCTTCAACAATGAGAAAACCCATCCTGTATAGTCCGCTATAAAAAAGCTCCAACATGAAAAATATGAAACAATTCAATAGAAATAACTAACCTCCTAATTTTTAACAAAACAATTTATGAAAAAACTAATGGCCTCATTTATAACAAAACAATTTTATGAAAAACAAATATAACAGACATGAACCAGTTGTTCAGTGGTTGTCGTTTGTTGGTGTGGTTCATAAGTGTTTCTGGTTTCTTGTTTTTTATATATATTAGACCATGTAGACCATGTAGACTGTTGGTTTTCCTGTTTTTACACTAGTAATTTTGGGGCACTTTATAGCTTGTTGTTCAGTGTGAGCCAAGGCTCGGTGTTGTAGGCCATAATTTGACCTATAATTGTTAACTTTTTATACATTGTGACTCGGATGGAGAGTTGTCTCATTGGCACTCATACCACATCTTCTTATTTATATGAACCAACGACAACAACTTGACTACAAGTTTCTGACTTGGGAAAGGCACATAAAAATGTGACCTGGTTAAACATCTTTGAGAGCGCTCAACCCTCCCCTAAACTGGGACAGTGGTGTAACAGCACAACGTAAGACCTGACTATAAAAATCAGTTGAAAGCGGTTTAACTCATCAGATCAATACAAAGAAAACCTTCAAACAAAAACACAGACAGGACATGGCAGGGTATATATCTATCCCTCATCCATAACAACAAAAAATGACACTAGGTTCAGTATATCTTAGGCTCATAATAATGTTTTGTCCAAGTAGTTGGTCCATATCGAAATGGGATCACTAATAATGAATTTGATCTAAATTATAAAATGTTATAATATATTTCATTAAAAATAATTGAGGTGGTATTTTACAAATCTGATCAGCTCAGGGTGACAGGTTTTAGCATTGTTTCGATATATATTTTTCCTAATTATTAATCTTTTGTTCAAAATCCAACAAAAACCATATATATTTACATGATACACTTATTATTTATTCCAGCTGAACTACCAACAGATGAGGTGAATTATTTACGAATGATTCATCTTATATTCAGAGTGGCTTGTCCAGTTGTCCGACTGACTTTTAACCATGAAATCCAACCTGACCAGTTACCTAAAACACTCAAAAAAAAGGAAGCAGTTATAAAGAATGAATACAGGAAGAAAGATGAGATCATTAATAAATTTGAATGGAATCTATTATACAGACCTGTTACAGGTAGGATTTAAACAAACGAAAAATGAATCAGCCAGATCCATATCGTTTACAGTTACCAAGTTAGATAACAAAAAATATTGCTAGATTGAGATTCTTCTTTTAGCCACTTAAACAATTGAATTAAAGGATATTTTGAAATATACCAATAAAACTTCACCCAACAGTACAGAAAACATAAAACATCCAATTGTAAATATAAGTTTTCTACAAAAGAAAGGTGATAGGTATCTTCATTGCATGCCAACTTTTCAGTCCCTCTATCTAACATTATTTTTATACTTTACCAAGTCTAAATAACTATTTTGTCTTGTACTGAGTTGTTACTCTGGCTTCTTCAGACAAAATCATGTCACGGAAAACAATTTTATTCATCTTGACTTGAAGAGCATATTTATCTCTCAACTATTGATACCCAGTTTCAGCATACTATTTTCATTGACAGGTATAAATGTGTGCACATATATTTACTATTTCCTTTGCTTAATGGTGCATAATATTTACCAAAATATCTAAAAGTAGTCATAAAATCAATTACAATTACTACTGAAATGACGATGATCTTTTTTTTTTGAAACATTGCTATAGATCCTTCACTGTTGAGAACACAAAATAATAAACAATCACAATTACATTTACAAAAATTCTGTTACTTCTTACTCTTATCAGTTTCAATTTTATCCCAGGAAAAAAAGTTACATCGGATTGTTTTGATATAAGACTCATGATATACCTGTTGCGTACACTGGCAAACATTGAAGTTGCTGATTTATATCCAGATAAATCTGATACAGAAATCAGTGCAATGCTGTCTAGAATCGAATACATTAGAAATGATGTAACCCAGAACTGTGAAGGCAAACTTTCAGAAGATCTGTTCAATAAATACTGGGATGATATCGCACAGGTTAGAAAAAACTTCTTTCCATTACAAAATTGTATGCAGTTTTTAACCGGATTTTCGAAGTAAAAATCGGTTATTGATTAGGGGAATGTACGGCGGGCGGTTGGGCGGGCGGCTGCCAAACAGTGTCCGTTCAATAACATGAAACCCCTTTGAAGAATTTTTTTCAAATTTAGATATGTTGTGTCCTGCGTCTATATGAAGGTCAAGTTCAATTTTCACGATTTTAGCTTTTCTCGTTGTTGAGTTATCGCCCTTTTTAATATCCATAAGTGGTACTTTTTGGTGATTGAGTTAGTTCCCTTTGAACAGAAATTTTTAATTATATACATAAAGTTTGATTACACTAAGCCTCTATAAATAATTTTCACCTGTTATCAGTTTAATACTTAGCATATGGTTAAAGTCTTATCTCACAATTTAATTATATTTGGAGTGACAGATTTATTTGAAAATGTTCTGTTTTCTAAGTGTTGATGATTAAAAGCTATATAGTTGTATAAATATAGTTAGAAATTTACTGTTCATTATTAGACATTTGGAAGATAATTACAGATAAGTTTTATAGATTTTTAAAAGACATTGTATTAATGATAAATAAAATTTTGGATTTTTTTCTCTTCTTTGGTAAATTGTTTGAAGAATTTTGTGGTAGGTGTGTTTGTTATTCTGTATAAACTAGTTTTTCTGAGTGCTATATATATAATTTTTTTTGTGTGTGTTAATTTTAATTTTTACTTGATCCTGTTTGCAAATTCATTAGATAATAATCTATTTTGATAACTTAAAAAGTTAAAGTTAAGATAAGTTGCAGATCTATATTAGTTTGTTACAAATGAAAGAAAAAATATTGGGAACTATGAACTATAAATATAAAGTTTGATTACACTAAGTAAGTGATTTTAAAATGATTTTATCCTTTTATCAAGATAACATAATGTGACCATCTGATAATTGTCAATCACTCAATTATAAATGGATTGACAGATTTATTTAAAAACTATTAATTATATTTGATTATAATTTAAGATTAAATATAACATCATATCTAATTACCTCATATCTAATTTTAGAGTCTATGGTTAAATCATAACTAATTTTAGATTTACATTATTGGTTCATGGAAATAAGTTTTAAGTTATTTTCTTTTGAATAGAAATGGTTTAACTAAGAAGTATTTAATCAAAAATGGAATTCTTGGGGTTCTTTGATATGCTGATTCTAGCAATGTACTTAGATTTTTTATATTGGACCATAATAGGGAAATGTCCAATTTCAAATTTTTCAGGTCTTTGACCACATTTTTTTTGTGTCACAAACCCATGCTGTGTCAAATATTCAATCACAATCCAAATTCAGAGTTGTTTTAAGCTTAAATGTTGTGTCCATACTTGCTCAACTGTTCAGGGTTCGACCTCTGCAGGAAAATCCGGTTTGCTGTTTCTCTGACAGCCTCTTTTCTTATGTTTGTTTTACACATTGTTGATAATAGGATATTTGAATTGTTGGTTTTTATAAAAGGCCTCTTCGGGTGAATATGAAATACAACTATAAAAGTTTTTTTTGTGGAAGAGGAGCTTTAATTATAACTGATGTAGCTCTGATAAATAAGGAACAAACAAAGCAAAACGACAAAAAATGAAATTGAGGTTTCCTTTTTGTTATTCCTATTTTGAAAGATTTCAATTGATCGAATTGTCGCTAACAGCAAGATACAGTTATGTTACTGAGCCAATGTTTGCTAAATATAAAACATTGAATTATAAAAAGAAGAGATGTGGTATTATTTCAAGTGAGACAACTGTCTGCTAAAGTTATAACGAAGTTGATGTTAGCAATTATGGGAAACTGTAGGGCCTCCAAGAATGAGAAAACCTATACTGTATAGTCTGTTATTAAAGGCCCTGACATGAAAAATATGAAGTAATTCAATTCAGAAAAGTTGTAAAGTAGGAAGGTTTTTAAACTGAACTTGTCTAAAATTCTTCACTGTACTAAGTTTCTATGCAATATATAATAGTAACCTTATCCTTGTTTAGTTTATATAAGGATCTGTCAGTATTTAGCCTTAAGCAATCTTATTGAAAGCACTTTATCTCCTATCTTATTTGATGCAAAATGATTCCTTCGCTTCATATTTATTGAGGATTTCCTTAATTATTTTGCTTAATGTATATATACTGTGGATTCATTTATTTTAGTGGGTACCAATTTTTGTGGATTAAGGAAAACTTGCATGTTCGTGGATATTTAATTTCGTGGTTTTACCGAAGTCTGCATACAAGCCTATAGAAATTTGGTATTTGTTGAACATTAAATTTCGTAGTTCACCTGTACCCACGAAAGTCACGAAAATTGGTATCCCACGAATAATAATGAATCCACAGTATATATATATATTTTATTTTATAGTGCAACCTGATATTACATAATAATTCAACATATTTAAGTACATTATTTACATATCAGCCAGCCTTCAAAGACTTGTAATGCACTGCTATTAAACGCTATCACAATAATTACATGTGCAAAAAAAAGATAAAAAGATATTTAACGTAATTTCTCAGGTCTTTAAATTCAAATAGAAATTAATTGTTCTCTAATTTTTGTTATATCAATTATATAATTCCATACATATTTACTGTTAGTTGTAACAGGAACATATATATTGACGGGACTTGACACTACCTGATTGTAGTCGATTTTATCGTCGTGCCATAGTTAATAAAGATACGATACAGAAACGGACATGTGTTAAAAACGGACTCGCTATTATCCTAATAATTTCTGATATTATCAATAAAATGTCATTCAAACTAGTTTTATAGTGATGCTAGTGTATCAAACTTGTATTCTGTCACTTCAAATTTGTTAAAATCGCAAGCATTTCATCACAGAATTGTGCAGAATGCAACCAGGTAATAAAAAAATGGCGGCCATTGCCGCGATGATTTACAAATTCCCAAACTATTATAAAACACTTCACATCAAATAAATCAAACTTATTTTGGTAATTTTATATGACAAAATATATCTACTAAATGATAAATCTTGTATTTATTTACAATTAGAGTTATGTGGTTTATTTGTTGAGCAGTTCTGATAGTTTTTCAGTCAGACGCTACCAAAATCGGTAAATCTTGGGAAGTCTCAATTTTATACTGAAAAGCGTATCAGATTCATTTCCCGTTAGATATACTGTTCCCAGGTTGTAAGTAGTAAGTCTAAGATGAGTAATTCATCGTCATTTACTAATGATAAGTTGATAGATATGCGCATGTGAAAGTCAGCAAAAAAAGTGTTCCGTTTTGATAAGTACCGAGGGCACTGAATAAGAAAAATGTTTTTCGTCTATAACCGCCGAGGGAGATTTGCATGCTTTACAAAAAACGTCTGTTACCCGGGATTCCACGGTATCATCCTTTTTCAATCTCCAATGGATATGTTTCACTTTTCATTCTAGCGATTGCAGAACGTTGTTGTCTTGACAAGACTGACCTGCTTAATGTATATTGTTAATTTTAAGTTTTTGTGTACAATATTTGTCAAAGTGTTTAATATACTTCTTCAGAAGAGATGACATCATTTAACTGGGTTGATGCCATTGCTGGTTGAGGTTTCTCAGGATACTCAGGATGGTCTACCCAAGAAAAAGATAACCTTTTCTGTATTTGGCCAAACTTTTTCGGAATTTGGGGTCCTCGAAGCCCTTCAAATTCGTAATTTTGTTTTTATAATATTTATGATTCGAGCGTAACTGATGAGTCTTTTGTATACTAAACGTGGGTCTGGCTTGCACAATTTTAATAATGATATCTATGATGAGTATATTTAAAGATGAATGCAAAGTATGCATATCATAAATCCCAAATTATATTTAAGATTTATTTGAATAAGGTGTAATTCCTACATGAAACATGAGTGATGATATCATTAAAAACATCATACAGTTTTTTTTTACTGAGAAATTTAATACGATCATTGTATCAACAATTTCATGTCCATAGAATTGGTAACTGTTTAATGAAACTTTTTTCATACAGGCAGTATTTAAATTGGTATATTCACATGGTATTGCAGAGGGCAGAGAGAAGAATCTACTGATAAGTAAGTTACACATGCTGAAAAATCCGCATAAAGTATCTGCAATGTTCGACATTTTTTATCCATGTTTTACAACTTTTGAATACTATCACTACTGGACGAAAAAACAACTGTCCATACCAGTAACAGTCGTTCTAAGACTGATAATGTTTGTTAAAGTTGTAACAGTTGTTAAATATCACTGCTGCAGTTATTTTGTAACTGTCCCAACTTTAAGAGTGTTTGTCTATAACATAAATCGACTGCAACAACGCTAGAAATAACTGTCACAGTCATTAAAGGACTGATACAACTATTTTAAAGTTGTAACAGTTGATTTACAACTGTCCCAACTCAAAATACGTTGTAACAGTCATAAATAAACTGATTAAATGCCTAAAAGGTTGTCACAGTCATAATAAGACTGCTGCAACCATTTGAAAGTTGTAACAGTTATTTAATAACTGTCCCAACACGGAAAACGTTGAAACAGTCATAAATAAACTGTTTAAACGCCGAAAAGGTTTTAACAGTAAAAATATGATTGCTACAACCATTACATAGTCATAGCTAATTTATAAGTGTAGCAACTTGCAAACAATGATCGTCATTAAGATTTAAAAGTCACGGATACAAAATTTCTGACAGTCAGGGATAGGTTAAATTATTTGTCAAAGAGACACAACTATCACACCCATTTAAAACATTAATTTTAGATAGAAATTGATTTAAAAAAATATTATTTTGAAATATTTGCCGCTGAACATTTTGGTATTCCCCGCTTATTTAGTGAATGTGCTAAATTTATATAATTATTTAACACTCCCTCGCCTCTCATCTCATCGAACAAAATCGGAACCGTCACTAGATACCTGCAATTTCACACAGGACGGTTTTATTCGCATTTAAAACTACTTACAGATAAATCGAAAAAGGTTACCAAATATATGTGTAACAAAATGTATCTTTAACTGTATTAACAGTTGACAATTTTCAATATTATCTAAATAAAAACTTTTTATTTTTTTTTAAATTAGTTAGGTGTGAAATCATTCATGCATACAAGGTTGTCTTCAATACCCGTAGTTTTACGAATCACATTACTAACGGTCAATATACAGGATATACTGTAAACCTAGCGGGGAACTCCGAATATACACACTTGTCAAACTTATCCCCAAATTAAACTGCTTAATTTTCTCCCGGGGGGCTTATTTCACACACTTAATTATTTTGAGCTTTTATTTGGGGCTACATTTTTTTCCTTGCAAAATTATAAATATTGCCGTATTAACCATTTTGATTTCTATACATATAAAAAAAAAATCAAAGCTATGATGAACATTTAACGCATCTTTTGCAGCTATGGAAAAACAAAAATACTCTTAAATCTATCTAAATTTGATTTATTTTACTGTATTTTATTTTTGAATAGTTCAATATTGACTCGACTTTGTATTGTATATTGTAACGAGTGGTCTATTTGAAGTTCAAATGTCCTTGATAAATAGCACTTCGGCATTCATTCATGATTGACTGAGGTAAAAATATTATCACTCGAGATCATTCATATTTTCACCGGATTTTTCTCAACCAATTTACCAAAAGTATTTATAAATAGATGGACGTACTGTACAAGACCGACAAAATAACTAGCGCCAGTGAAAGTTGAAATGTTCAAAACAGCAAACTCGCATTGTTTCAGACAAGGAAATCAAATCTTCTTTTATTTATTCACATAACGGTTTAGGACTTGTTGTATTCTTTAGACTCCGGTCTTGTTAAATTCTACAGACTGACATCAGATTCTCTTTTGTGGTTTCAGTTGATCAGATGTCGTACTAACCATGCTAACGTTCAGTGGCGGATCCAGAGGGGGGGTCCCGGGGGTTGGAACCCTCCCCCCTTTTTTTGGACGATCAATGCATTTGAATGGGGATTTATAGTTGGAACCCCCTTTTAAAAATGGCTGGATCCGCCCCTGACGTTTATCCAAAATATTTTCCAATTTCTATTTTTTAAATTCAATTTATTTAATCATATAAATGCTTGTCCAATATTGATATATATTATTCAACCAGTAAAGAAAACTTTAACAGTTTTACTAGATGTAATGGAAATTTTAAGATGGTCACTTTTATAAATTAGGCAAATGGGTCCATTATTCTAATTATATTCATCTTCAATCAGTGATGAAAACAGTACATATGTATTACCAGCAGAACTTACATTGACTTATTTGGGCGCTCCTAAGAAAAAAAAATCATTGATTAATTAAATCATACTTTTTTTTTGGACTCACTTTAACAATGTTTAATAGGAGGATGGACATACAATAAGTATTCTGGCACTGGTCTGAGTGAAAATATATAATCTGGCTGCCTATATGTTGGAAATTAATATTCTGACCTTATCAAATTTGCCAATTCAGTTGCTTACTTCTATGTCATTGGGTTTTCGGTGAAAAATTGTCTAATTTGTAAACAAGTACCACATCATTTTATTTATTAAATAATGATCTTATTAAAAAAAAATGCAGTTCTATTTAACATTATTGTGTCGATATTTTGAGCAATTATGTTTTCAGCTGTGTATCACCATCAATGATCACTTGTTCTCCAATGAATGAATCTGTCGTAAAGTTTTCACGTGTTTAGACGTATAGATATATGTTGACCTCTAGATTGTTATTTAGTTGTTGTTGGGTTGATGTCATATAGTAGCAGTTTACTCAATTTCACCAGTTTATTATCATATGTTTTAGTCTATTTGTCATGTTTGTATTACATAGGCTTTTCACACCATGCTATATATATATATGTATAATGTACAAACATAGTCGATACATTAATTCTAATTGTACAGCCACAAAAAAAATGTCCAATTCTCATCCCTTTCTTCAGTCAGGGATATAAGTCTATAGGGTTATTACAGAAAATAACTTGCATGTGTTATTACAGATACTTTTATGAGTTGTCTACTCTTTAATCCTTAAATTTACTAAATCTGTAATAACATATGTTTGTTATTTGTAAAATAAATCATAAATATTTTTATTTTTAGTGGGCTCTAGGGAACTCTTGAAACTTTGCACAGAACCTAAATGCATAGCCTTGATAACTAACTATTAATTTAGATTAATATATTTTTCATTAACCATGGTAAATCAATGAGACAAGGCTTTTAAGTAATTAACTTAGCTGTGATAACAAGGCTTAGTTATTAAAGGCATGCAACTTATTAAATGAGACACTTGGGAATTACTGGGAAGCTTGCGCAGAACCTCATTACATGCTCTGATCATTACTTCTTACAATAAATTAAAATACATTGTAATTGAGCATGATCTACGTCTGAGCAAATGCTTTGAAGTGATGTAGAGAAGCTATAATAACACCCTTTAGTTATTACAGGCATATTTGTTCTGTAATAACATAGGTGTGATATGCATGATTGGCAAACTATGAACTGTTATATCTTTCTATGGTTAAGTATACATAAAGACAGTAGCAATATCAATAGAAATTGTATACATTTTAACAAAACTAATGATGTATATTGTCCCTTTGGAACATGTAACATACATATGTTATCACAGTTCTTTGATTTTTTTGTCCACAATAACAAGCATATGATATTTTTCTCTAATAACCCTATAGAGTTATATCCTTGACTGTTTTTGAAACCACTTTTTGTATATTTTTTTTTTCATTTCAGGTTGGTTATTTCTTTTGCTAGAAGTTTTTAAAATCATAGCAAATTAAAACCCCGAAAATATGCTTCCACACATAAATATTATAACTAAATTATAACAAACATGACAAACAGCTCACTAATAGTGCATAATACATGTATGCCTTTGTAATGCTTATTGTGTACATGGTGTATATTGAAAATGTTGCTAAACATCTTGGGATATATATTTAGAAGGCATTTATTCAAAAGCAGATAGAATGGATTTGTAGAAAATCATGAATAAGGGCAGAAACCTGTTAATATTGGATCACCTATAAGTCTTTGGTAAACCATAATACATTTGTCATCACTCATGTTTCAACATGTTCAATGGGTCTGTAAACATGATAAAAATGGGAGACATCAGAAATTATCATCAAGGAACAATTTTTTCAAATTCTAAACATGCTTAACTGTAACTTTGAGGCCCTATATAGCTTGCTGTTCAGTGTGAGTCAAGGCTCTGTGTTGAAGACTGTACTTTGACCTATAATGGTTTACTTTTTCAAAATTTTTGACTTGGATGGAAAGTTGTCTCATTGGCAATCATACCACATCTTCTTATATCTATTAACTGACCCAATTTTATTGCCAACTGATTATTTGTTGCTTTTGTATAGAAATCAAACTTGGGTTTCTCATCTAAACTTGTTTACATTGTGTTACATCATCCAATATGGCTAGGCCTGTTATAGGTTTTTCATTATCATGATTATGTGGTACTGATTTTGCTCATTGTTGAAGGATGTGCAGTTACTAACAATTACATCACATGGTCTACAGTTGATGGTTGTATCATTGAAAATCATACCACATCTCCTTATTCTGGTTATTGTACATTCATGACATTATACATGTTATACAAGACTACAATATTATCAAATGAATTATAACAATTGTTAATAGTTGTCCGACTTTTGTTAACAAAAAGCAGCTATAATCAACATGGTAGAGATGATCAATGGTGATGTAACAAGAGTGACTGTGCACATGCTGAAATGTCATATCTGCTTTGCCTACATGTAAAATTGAATTAATGTTGAATGTAAAAAATGTAATACATGTATGAAGGTTTTACTACATGTACAAGTATCACATAAACTTTCCATTATCAATTACCTTTGAAAATGAAGTCATGGTCAAATTACCCATGCCAGACAGATGATGTACACCCTACAAATAGTATCTGTGAAATAGACTTAACATCCAAACCATGAAAACTAAACATTGCCCAATGAAACATGAAAATGAGGTCATGGTCAGATTTAAAACCTCCCAATCAAACTTGT